ATGATTGCATTATTAACGTATGTATTATAGCAAATGTATTATTTATAGCATGCTAAAATAAAAATCTTGGCAACCTTTAAATGGAAAAGGTTACAAAAGGGCGACTGACACATTTGTTAAGCTGCAAGGTCTCGTGTTCAGCCAAGTTTCGATGTTAATTTATGGCATACGCTAGGGGCTTCCGCTCTGCAGAGTATGCCGCTATAACGCGATATTGTCGCCGCATAGTGTTAATATCAATAATGGACAGTAATTGTTCGTGTTACGACCCAAGAGAGATATCTACCTCGATGATGCTACATTGTGCCAAGTTAAAGCAGCGAACTCTGCTTCGATCGCGATAGCGAATAAGGACAGTCGCGTATATTTTGTATTAAATCGTTAAAAATGACAAAGGACACTATTATGGATCCAAGGATAATGTTCAACGCATGCTTAACGCATTATTATGCTCTCTCTTTATCCGTACACTTTACCATATACAAACTATAATTATGCATTTCAAAATATATATTTCAATTTTATTTTAGTTTCTAAAAAAAAACATAATTTTGAATAAACTTTTAAATAGATGTAAATAATACATCTGTTTTCTTCGTGCATAATTATATCGATAATTATTATTTTTTTATTTAATTTGTATAATCAAAATTTTTGTATGTAAAACATGGCAGCTAATCAATTTTATTTCTAAACTCACTCGATTGTACAAATCCAATTTTCTCTACACAATTAAAATAATTGATATCGAATCATGTTTTTTTTTTTTTTTTTTTTTTTTTTTTTTTTATTTTTTTTTTTTGAGCCGATGGAATTCTTGGGTACGTAGCAATCCGGGACATGACCTTCGCGTCGTCTCTAACGATCTCGACAGCTTCGCGCGACAACAGATGTAGACTCTTATACATCTTCCGCCTCAGACTAACATTTAATTATGTGCAAAAGCATAAATATAAAATCTGTTCTTTTATCGTACAAATTTATACCGATAACGTTATTTGGCTGTAATTTTAAAATTATTTTTCGGGTGTTATTTCGCTATTTGAGAAATATATTTAATAATATATATTTTTTGTGAGATATTTTATTTTATATATAGCACAGAAAAAGAGTATTATCTCTTCTAAAGTATTATCGTATCATCAAGACATTAATCTGACAAAAAAATCTCTTTTTTTCAAATGTAAAATATAAAATGTGTGTCAGAAAATGTTTAAAATTATATTTCTTTTTATTTCTCTTCTCTTTATTTTTAATCAATAAAGTATTTCGAAATAATTAATAATAATAAATGATTGCATTATTAACGTATGTATTATAGCAAATGTATTATTTATAGCATGCTAAAATAAAAATCTTGGCAACCTTTAAATGGAAAAGGTTACAAAAGGGCGACTGACACATTTGTTAAGCTGCAAGGTCTCGTGTTCAGCCAAGTTTCGATGTTAATTTATGGCATACGCTAGGGGCTTCCGCTCTGCAGAGTATGCCGCTATAACGCGATATTGTCGCCGCATAGTGTTAATATCAATAATGGACAGTAATTGTTCGTGTTACGACCCAAGAGAGATATCTACCTCGATGATGCTACATTGTGCCAAGTTAAAGCAGCGAACTCTGCTTCGATCGCGATAGCGAATAAGGACAGTCGCGTATATTTTGTATTAAATCGTTAAAAATGACAAAGGACACTATTATGGATCCAAGGATAATGTTCAACGCATGCTTAACGCATTATTATGCTCTCTCTTTATCCGTACACTTTACCATATACAAACTATAATTATGCATTTCAAAATATATATTTCAATTTTATTTTAGTTTCTAAAAAAAAACATAATTTTGAATAAACTTTTAAATAGATGTAAATAATACATCTGTTTTCTTCGTGCATAATTATATCGATAATTATTATTTTTTTATTTAATTTGTATAATCAAAATTTTTGTATGTAAAACATGGCAGCTAATCAATTTTATTTCTAAACTCACTCGATTGTACAAATCCAATTTTCTCTACACAATTAAAATAATTGATATCGAATCATGTTTTTTTTTTTT